GCAGATAGAATTCCCCCAGCCCTCTTCAAATTCGGGGGACCTGCTCTAGTAGATGATCTACACGAGCTGCTAGTAAAACTTTGGGAGCAGGAGACAGTCCCGACAGACTGGAACCGCTTCGTCATTGTCCCAATTTTCAAGGGAAACTCCCGTTTGGAATGCGGCAATCATAGAGGGATCAGTCTGGTTTCGGTTGCCTCTGTCATTCTCCACAGACTGGCTGGCACACGTGAAAGCCAGATTCGTGAAGAGCAAGCCGGGTTTCGTCGAGGTCGCGGCTGCATCGACTACATCTTCACATTGCGTCATGTGTTGGAGCACCGCCATGTTTATTGGCGACCCACCGTTGTCGTGTTTTTTGACATAAAAGGTGCCTTCGACTCAGTCGATCGATGTGCCCTTTGGGACTGTCTGCTGAGGAAAGGTGTGCCTGATAAATATGTAAACATTATCAAAGCGCTGTACGCGCATAGTTCGGGCAGGGTGAGGGTTTATGGCAAACTCTCGCCACCTTTCAGTATCACCAGCGGTGTGAGACAAGGATGCCCGCTGTCACCTTTCCTCTTCAACTTCGCAATTGATGAAGTCATGGAAACAGCGTTCGCTGGACACGACCTAGAAGGTGTGGAGCTACTTCCTGGTGAGCGACTTCTTGACTTGGAGTATGCGGACGATATTGCCCTAATCTGTGACAGCCCCCAAACATGCCAAAGTGCACTGGACCGATTAGCACTGGCTGTCAATCGTTTTGGGCTATGCTTTGCTCCATCGAAATGCAAAGTACTTCTCCAAGATTGGCAGGGACCCAACCCTGCGCTAACGCTTGGTGGTGTTCTGCTAGAAGTCGTTCAGGAATTCAAGTACCTGGGCAGCTATATTAGCACCCGTGGGATTGAAGATGAGGTTACGAACCGTATAGCAAAAGCTCGAGGTGCTTTTGCCAATCTCCGCCACCTGTGGCGCAGACGCGACATTACTCTCGCCCTGAAGGGCAGAGTTTACAACGCAGCCGTCCGTTCAACTCTCCTATATGGTTGTGAAACCTGGCCCATCAGGTCGACTGACATGAAGAGGCTCGTCACATTCGATCATCGCTGCCTTCGCAGCTTAACTCATGTCTGGTGGGAACACCGCGTGAGCAATGAGCGTGTTCGACGTCGCGTATTTGGTGCAGGAAGAGCGAGTGAAGTGCTCAACACCATTATATCTCTCACCAAGCTCCGATGGCTGGGCCACGTGTTGCGCATGCCAGCACACCGACTCCCGCGACGTGCATTGTTTGCGCGTTGTGGGTGCGGTTGGAAGAGGAGGAGGGGAGGCCAAGTGATGACTTGGTCGAGAGAATGAAAACCCTCACTTCGAAGTTGGCGTCGGTTGGTGCATCCCGACTGCCTGGCTGGGGTCCTAAGGACGGTGAACACGTTTGGTTGGACACACTTACTGATATGGCTTGCAGCCGGCCCCAACGGCGTTTGTGTTGTGAGTTCCTTTGTCCACCCCCTCCTGTTTAGTATCCCCCTCCAATCACGATCTCACCTGTTAGGCATAATGCGATTCTCTTTTACGGCAGCCAGCGGTTAGCTCTCCGGAACGATGTCCATCCGTTACTGGGGACTCTGCGGGCGTGCCACTGTTTGCCACTGTTTTTCTTTTCTTTTATATTGCGGCACAATAGCTGAGGTGTTTTCCACCTCCAGCTAACGTGTAATGATGATGATAATGATGATGTTCCACCAAGTGGTGCAGCGCATGTAACATTGCTGGTCCGCCGTCTTAACACTTCTGGTGGTATTCCATTGGCTCCGACCCGCTTAACGTTTCGCAGCTGAGACAGTGCTCTCTGCGTTTCATGGAATGTCGGGGTCTCGGCGATGTCATCCATAGTTTGTTGTTGTAGCCCCTTGCAGTCTATCCCAGTCCATCTCTGAAGGGTTGTTAAAGAGATAGTCGAAGTGCTTTCGCATGCATGCATGCATTCTTGATACGACTGAGCTACTGAGTCAAACGTAATACTCCGAGTTGCTGGGATCTTTTACATGTTCAGCAAAAGCTGCATTCTTCCCTAACATCAATATGCCAACGGCCGCGCTGTTGTCGTCGAACTAATCAGCCTGCTTACATTTTACGCAACTAATTGTTTTCTCGGCCACATCGGTCACCTGTACATTCAGTTAGTGCCATAGTATGCTGATTGAATCCGTCTAGCCCGTCACAAAGGCGGACAGCCATCGTATTCTTCAAATCGCTTCCCTTCTCGGAGTATGAACATTAAATCTCCACTGGTTATAGGTAGTGAAGCAACGTATAGATTTATGTACGTGTATGCACCATTTGATCCGTACCAACTTGTGACCAATGCCACCCTCAGCTCCATACAGTACGCAGGCCATGTTCACTTCACGGATGTCACGTCGACTTACGATGATCGAGCAGTCGAGTTTGCCCACTCTGTGGGTGCGTCCAAGTGGCCATAGCACTCACACCCAGTGCAAACCGGGTGTTCGTGGTCACCAGGTCTTGAGTGGCACATGCTGAGAAAAGCCGGCCACCGTTTCCACTGGCTAAACAAACACCGTGCGGCCCAGTTATGTATGCTCACACAGCGGCATCACGTCCCATACGCGCCTAGTTATCAACTAGAAATAGCCGGTCGCTTCTCTACTCAGACCGCATCACAGAATACAATTGCGAGTAAAACTGACCCTTTGTGTCATCAGAACAACACATGGTGGTTCCTCATATGCTAGTACAAGCTGCAAACTTATCCCATCCGAAGCGTAAGCGAACTGCCATCATTCATGAGTTGATGCCGGTTGGCTGTGCCACCATCTGGCCATTTAGGCGGTCGAATAGTGCAAATCCGACCCATGTTCGCGTGGTGCTATGGTGGCTTTTCCCAACCAGTAGAAGGTGTAGCCATCACCATCTTCATGCAACTTGCCTTGTTCAGCCAGCCCTCTCACTGAACACGGCAATGTCAATGCCGCAGCTACCGAATTCCATGGCGATCAGTACAGTGAGTCGCATGGGGCTCTCAATCGTGCTACGGACGAGAAGTGTGGGCGTGTTCCAGCATCCAGTGTTGAGCGCTTTGCGCGAAGGTATACACTTTTCTTGAGCACTCGCTCGTGTAGCGACCTAGATTGGAGGAAGTAGTTGGTTAGATGAAATGGAAACAGAGAGAGAATGTGCAGGGGAGGAAGAAAGAAGGGAAGCGTCAGCGGTATCATGTTTTTGCCTATCCACCTCGCTGTATACAGCATGACATCAATATAGGTGTATTTCACGGTTTGATTTTGGACTGGTATAGTGCCAGAGCGTTCATACCTAAACAGAACGACTCGAGTCCTCAGCCAAAACTTTCAATTAAATGTATTCTCGAAAGGCAGCGGGAAATGTGCCGTGAATCATTTGACTCACCGGGATGTGTGCTAACTGTTAGCTAGAAGGGTAAGTCGACTTCCACTAAGCGGTCTCCACTAGGAGACCTCCAGGACCTGAGTTCACTACAGAACTACAGCAGCCGCGAATGAATGACCTGTCAGGATCTCACCACCATATTTAAATATACGATCGATCTTTCCCTTCTATGTTGGCAATGTGTGAAGTGAAGATTTGCTCCATCTTGTTCCCGTGATCAGTTTCAATCTTCCGTGCAATTTAAACAATAACCAATTTCTTCTTTTACTTTTTAGTACACACTTCGAGTGACAATGTTGCGCGTTTTTCTATCGAATAGGAAGACAGTCCCACTTCACGTTTCACTTTTCTCTACCGCTCAGTCAGTGTCTTCAGTCATTAAATATCCTGTGTCAGAAACCCCATTACACAGACAAAACCAAAGGATTATTACTCCATCTTACAAGTTAAACCAACGGCTTCTCATTCTGAAATCAAAGCTGCTTATCTGCAACTTTCCAAGAAGGTATCTATATTAGTTCACCATTTGTGATTCTTCAAGTTTCATCCAGACGCTTGCAACGAGGATGCCTCTCGATTCATTGACATCGCGGAGGCGTTCTCGGTCCTCGGAAACAATGAAACACGACAACAGTATGATGCCAAGCGCAAGCTCATGGCGTTTGGTTTGTTTGGCGATGGATTCAAAATGCATTATCCGGCACCCCACTCGGATTTGAGCGAGGAGGTCCTCAATGCGTACAATGACGAAATGCGAAGGTGCGCCATCACACTCATCCCGCCCCGTATGGGTAACTTCATATTTTCGTTTCTTTCTACATTCCATTATGCATGAAGATTATTGTTCTCACATACACTACACACGTTAGCTAGAGGTGTGGAATACCTCAACTACTGTGCCGCAATACCTAAAAGACAAAAGGGAATAAAATGAAAAAGGTGCAAGCCAGCTGAGCTACCGGTAACGGATTGGCATCGTTCCGGTAGGCTACTATGCAGCAGGAAATAATAATTTACTATGCAAAATTATAAAATGCTAAATAATGAGATCGTGGTTGGAGGGGTGGGCTAAGAAGGATCGGGTGGGAAAAAGAAACTCACAGCACGAACGCCCTTGATGTCGGCTCCTAGCCATATCAACAAGTGTATCCAGCCCCATGCTGAGGCTGATGTTGCATTCTTGATGCTTCTTCACCGCAGTTGGACTAAACCAACTTACACTTAAGCTAGGTCTTTTTAAGCTGGCTAAATTTCATTCCACTTTATTTGGTTTGTTCTGCCTACCTGAATACTCTTCTATTAACTGGCCACTTTGCTCACATTACTTACGCTTATTTTCGGCAACTTTGTTGCGTTTTGTACCATTTTTAACCAACTTGCGGACATTTTTTCCCTATCGTGGATTCGTTGCTAACCAACTTACTTCATATGGTAATTTAGCTTAGAGTTATGCCACCGTATCTGTATGCATTATTGGATTTGTTTTATTTCATCTTGTCGTTCCAGGTGATTGGCTGTTGCTTGATATCTCCGGTGTGGCTGCGCTTGATGTGCATGTTGACAAGGTGCCTACTTGTCTATTTCCCACTACCTCGTTCATACTGGCTCCAAGAGACAGTTGGTCGTTGCTGGAGGGGTCGGGGTGCACGGTCCTTGTGGCCGTGCTAGGCTCGAAGAGTGGTTCCACGCACTCAGTGTGGAGCGGACTACGGTCTAGCCACCACCTTGCGTGCGCTTGATTTCCCAAATACAGCGTGCTTGTGTTTGCCTGTGAAGGAGTGTGGGCCGGCTCCGTTGATGAAACGTGGCTCCCATCCACATGTCTGCCGGTCTTATTCCTTCGGGTTTACACTGGATATGGGGTGTGTGGTTGAAGCTGTGGGTGGTGCAGCGCAAGCCACCAATGGTCATTGTGTAGGCGCAGGCGTCCTGTGGCTGGCCGCAGTGACAAGCAAATCCGAAACCGGATGCCGCCAACCATCCAGACAAACGTGTTCATTGTCTTTCGGACCCTAACCAAGGAGCCGAGACTCTCCAACTGAGGCCAACTTCGAAGTGAGGGCCTTCATTCCTCTCGACCAAGTCATCGCTTGGCCACCTCTCCTCTTCTCCCATCCACACACCCGGCGTGCAAACAACGCACGTCGCGGGAGTCGGTGGGCTGGCATGCGTAACACGTGGCAGAACCATCGGAGCCTGGTGTGTGAAATAACGGTGGTGAGCGGTTCATTTGGTTTTACTGTGCGGTAAACAAGGCGTCGAACACGCTCGTCGCTCACTCGGTGTTCCCATCAGATGTGAGCTAAATTGCGGAGGGATCGGTGGTCGAACGTAACTAGTTTCTTTATGTCTGCTGATCTAAGGGGCCAGATTTCACAACCGTACAGTGGGGTCGAACGTTCCACTGCATTGTACACTCTACCCTTCGTGGCGGGAGTGATGTCGCGCAGGCGCCATAAGTGGCGGTTAGCAAAAGCGCTTTGAGCTTTTGTTATACGCTTCGTGACCTAATCTTCAATTCCACGGGCACTGATGCAACTCCCCAGATAGCTGAATTTTTGAACGACTTCTAGCTTATTCCCACCAAGGGTCAGCGAATGAGGCCGTCCAGGCCAATTTTGGATGAACGCTTTGCACTTCGATGATGCAAAGAAAAGCCCGAAGCGGCTGACAGCCAGTGCTAATCTGTCCACTGCCGCTTGGCACGTTTATGAGCTGTCACAGATTAGGACAATATCGTCCGCATATTCCAAGTCAAGAACTCGTTTTCCTGGGATCGGATCCACACCTTCTAAGTCTTTTCCTGTGAAGGCGATTTCCATTACTTCCTCACTAGCGAAGTTGAAGAGGAAAGGTGACAGCAGGCATCCTTGTCTCACACCGCTGGAGATATTAAAGGGCGACGACAGCTTTCCGTAAGCCCTCACTCTGCCTGAGCTACGCGCGTATAATGCTCGGATAATACTTACATATTCCTCAGGTACACCTTTCCTGAGTAGACAGTCACAAAGTGCAGTCTATGCACCGAATCGAATGCATCTTTGATATCGAGGAACACGAGAACGGTGGTCCGCCAATATGTGTGACGGTGCTCCAACCACTGACACAAGGTGAAGATGTGGTCAATGCAGCTACGACCTCGACGAAATCCAGCTTGCTCTTCACGAATCTGGCTTTCACAAATGCCAGTCAGTCTATGAAGTAGTACAGATGGAAGCAATTTGGAAGCGATGGAGATCAGACTGATTCCTCTATGGTTTGCGCATTCCGAAGGTGAGCCTCCCTTGAAAATTGGGACTATGACGGAGCGGCTCCAGTCGGTTGGGACAGTTTCTTGCTCTGCCGGTGGCCGAGTGGTCTGCACGTTTGCTTCGCAACCATAAGGTCACCGGTTCGAATCCGTGTAGGGGTGGGCGTCCTCGCGGTATACTCAGCCCCCCGCGCGACTGGTGGTGGTCGCGCGGCAGCGAAGCGCCGTTACGGCGTACAGCTGACACATTATTTATTATTTTATTTTTTTACATTTTCAATAGTAACTAGTGTAAATCATTCGCAAGTGCAGGTCCCTCGAATTTGAAGAGGGCTGGAGGGAGATCATCTGGTCCCGCGGCTTTATTTAACGTCAACGGTGCGATTTCACGTTCGACTTCTAAGCGAGAGGGTGGATCCAAAGGATCAGCCCAGGGAGCGGGTCGATTAGTTCCGGCGAGAAATGTAACAATTCCGACCGATTAAATTGCCTTTCAAAGTGTTCAGACAACACTCCAAGGGTTTTGACAAGTAATGCATAGGCTGTCCACTCTCGTCGTGTATAGTTTCACTAACCCCAGGTCTTCTGCTGCCCGTTTCCCGTATCAGCCGGTATAACTTCCGATGGTTACAAAGGGCAATGACCATTTTCATCTCTGATGCACGATGATACCACCAGGATTCGCGGTCTCTCTTCGGACTAGCACTGAGTTTTTCCCGGAGCTCTTTGCGAGTTTCCTTGTGTTCGCTTCCAGCCGGAATATGCCGGCGAGCATCGATAAGTTCCAGAGACTGCAGAGACCTAATGTCCATGTTGGCGATTAGACTTGCCACATGAGGATTTGCCTGCTGCTAGTAAGGACTGGTGAATATGAGACCAGTGACCTTCAACTGTCCCCAGTGAGCGCTTATTCAACTCGCATGACAGCGTACTTTGATAGGCATTCAGAGCAACTGGTTTCGCCAGTTGGCTGGCGTCAATGCGCTCACAACGTCGTCTTGGACGTCCGCCAAAACGCATCCGCAGGTCAGCACATACAAGTGCATGGTCGATGTTCACATCTGTGCTCCAAATCGAGCGACAGTTCTGGACGCAGCCTCTCAATCGGTCACTTATCGCAATGTGATCGACTTGTTTCCATAGCTGCTTCGAGGCTGGTGGGTGTCAAATCACCCTCCGGTGGGTGCTGTGTCGGAAATTAGTGCTCGCAAGAAATAAACAAACATCTTCACACAAATGAAGTAAGCGCTCACTGTTATCATTACGGGAGCCTGCACCATGTTGGCCGCCCAGATGCAGTTCATCGGTGGATAATTTTCCAACTTGCGCGTTCAGATCCCCAGCCAGTACAACAGTGTCCGAGCTTCTTCTGTGGCGAAGGAGCTCGTTCAGTTGACAATAGAAGTCGTCTTTTACCGAATCATCGCTGGAGTTTGTGCGTGCATAGGCAGCGATGACGAATAGACGCCTGTTAGTCCCGCGCGACTTCGAAGCTTTCAACGGGCCATCCAATCGGACCGCACACAATCGGCTACTGATTGGAATCCAGTCAACCAGAGCAGCTTCAGTCCGGGGACACAAGGCAATACCAACACCGGCTTGGCCGGTGCTCGAAGCTGCATCATCACCAGATAGGCGCAATGAGAAAGTGCTGCTGGTGTCACCTGAAGGGGATCGCAAAGTAAGCACAGAACTCGATTCTTGCAGTCGGGTTTCTGATAAGCAGCATATATCAATCGAGAGGGTCTCTAATGTTCGAGCAAGTGCTGCCTGTTGACCGATCTGTGGCAATGTGCGTACATTGAAGCATGCCAATCCAAAGGATGATCGAGGGCTCCAAATGAAAGTCGATGAACTGGGCTTGGCCGCTTGGTTGGACATCGGGTTGTTCACAGAGCAGGAATGACGCTGCGCGTTCACATGCGAGTTGAAACTAGAAGGTAAAAGCCTAGCAAAGCAAGGTGGGGGAGGGCCAAGAATTAGTTGAAAACATGGGGGATAAAAGTGAAGCTGGAAGGGGACGGTAAGATAGAAAAAGCGTAAGAGCGGGAATAAGAAGATGGAAAGGCTTGAGCAGTAGCATCCAAACCCCTATCCACCCAACTCGATACAGCAGATAGGGCACAGTTGATTATCCTCTGCGGTTGCCAGAGCATCAAGAAACTGTTTAGAGAGAAATTCATTGTATTGTTCTCAGTGTAGTCGGAGGTTCCACATTGGACTGCCTTGCCATCAGTCGATTGTGCTTCCGTAAGTCTCGTTGCTGTTGCGGCAGTGACAGTTTTCCGAGGCCGCCTACCACCTGCATTATTTCAACTGTTATGCAAACCCCCTTTTGTCGCGCTACCAACCCACTAACAATCTAAGCACTACTATTTTATGTATGTAACTGCCTGCTGTTTGGACGTCACCATTCTTGGCACCATGGCTCTTGTACTACATTGATTTCAGATACCGCCGTTGTGTTTTCCTTTTCCTCTTTCCTCCGTTCTGTCAAGTTTCAGCTGTGCTGAATCCGATAACGATGATTTGTGAACTAATTAGCGGCTTCTACGTCGTGTCTTACGTTTGGATTATAAACGCGG